TGAACATTTGAGGACAAACAGCACGGGCATTTGAAAGTTATCAAGAGCCATTCTAAGCATCTTGGAATGGATTCTACAACTTTGGCCATAGGGCATCTGTACATGCTAATAAGCATATACATGTTTGAGGATAGCTCCTGACACTAAGGGTGTGGCACCAGCCAGTTACACTACTCGTACAGAAACAAAATACAGTGGGGACTTCGCAGCGTCTGTGACACGTTAAGGTGCGCCTGTGGTTACTTCTAAAACTATTAGTTTTCATCTTAATGAAAATGCAAGATTTACACTGCTGCTAAACATCAAATGCGTATATACGTTTTATTTAAAATTATTCTTACAAAAGAGAATTCCCCAAGGAAAGTGTTTTTGTTGCTTCCGGTGGATGAGACCATTAGTGGAAGTAGGTCAGGACCATGAGTTGGGCCAGCGGTTAGTAGGAGGGTTATGTAGAAGATATCTTCCGTACTAAGATTCTGTGGTGTTTGTCAGACAAGTATCATCACTAGTACAGGTCTGTGCCTGGTCTCAGACCGAGCCGCGGGGGCGTTGACCCACGAAACCCTCTCCAGGTAAACTCCAGGTAAACATCCATGGTATACAGTACTGATAAGTTGATAAACAAGATATACGTGCAACAGCCTTTATCAAGGCTAAGGGACTAAACTACTATAAAGACTGAAGGACTATACATTTCTCCACTTCTTCCACTGTTTACGGTATATAATGTCTGTGCTGAACTGAAGTCACATGTGTCTCATTCGTCAACTTGTAGGTATTGTACTCCATTAATGTAAGTAATCAAACATATGTATACATTAAGAGGTGTGTATCTCTCAGTGTGTATACAATGAAAGTTACTTTACTTTAATTCTTAGTTTGTGTATTAAAGTATTCTTGACTGACGAACAGATTGCATGACGCCTTAATGATTCTCGTGGAGTCCACATTCTTTAAAGTCAATTAAACCATAGAGCAATGTGTAATATGACTGTGAAGGTGACGCAGACTTGTGTAAATGGCTGGTACATCAAGGTTTGAATGGTAATGAGCAACAGCTAGTAATTCAATACTGGTATGAACCAATGATAGAGGGGCAGTCGATGCAAGTACTGGAATGAACCAGTGATGAACTAGTACAAGTCTGTGCTAGTACTGAATGAACTAATGATGAACTAGTACTGTGCTAGTAGTGAATGAACTAATAATCAATTAGTGCTTGTCTATGCTAGTACTTGAACTAGTGCTTCATTCTGGTACCATTATATAATCGCTCTAGTATTGATCTGCGTTAATAAGCTAGTGGTAGCAGGTACTAGAACTATATAATTTTCTCTTAGTAATTTGAGTCGATACTGATGTGATCCGTTACTGGTTATGTCTTGTATTATGAATTCATCCTAGTGCTATACCACCACCTATCAGGGCCCAGGGACTGACCACCTCAAAACATTCAACATTTCTACAATCTTCAGCATTGTAATCACCTCTGTATTCGACTGATGAAGGCTGCTGTGCAGCCGAAACGTTTCGTCTATAAAGCTACACAAGTGTTGCTCTATTTTAAAGCTCAGCACATAGGAGGTATACTACTACCTCCTGGAATGAGACCCAAACCAGGTAATACCGATGTACCTACTAACTGCTCGGTGAACAGGAACGACAGCTGCAAGATGACTTGTCTATAGTCTCGACTCGCCCATGACTGAACTAAGATCATCGGTGGAGCCGAGTGAGCTACCAATGAGCTACAAACTTAATGGCATATACACTACATACTAGTGTTAAGACCCACGCGAGGTAAATCGATGCCAATCACCACCCTATTCACCACATGAGGCACATTCATTAGTTTGGCGGGGAGACTGAAAAAAAAATGGAAAATGGCACACACTGGACCAATATTAAAAAAAAAAAAAGCGGCAAGATGGATCCCTTGACCTTGAGGCCTCTCTCGCTGCAACGCGTCGTCGTGACATGACGACAAAACGTCATTCGATGAAAGTGAACAGAACACGTGGCGAGCAAAAAATATTAAATAGTAACTCAGTTTGGTTTTCGACCAGAAGATTTTATAAAAAAATATTTAAGCTACTATGAAAGAATCGCAGAAATCATTCAAGAGCGAAACCGATGGGTACAAATAATAGAAGTCCTCAGGTTGTTCTTCAACTGTATATATCCTTGGTTAGGCCTCATTTAGATTATGCTGCGCAGTTTGGGTCATCGTATTACAGAATGGATATAATGGAAATAAATGGTATAAAATACCGACACAATGGAAATATAAACACAAATGCAGTATAATGTGATCCTTTATTGACTACGTTTCGCCCACAAGTTTGTGACTTGAAAAAGCCCACTGTGTGGGCGAAACGTAGTCAATAAAGGATCACATTATACTGCATTTGTGTTTATATTTCCAGAATGGATATAAATGCACTGGAAAACGTACAAAGTAGGATGACAAAGTTGATCCCATGTATCAGAAATTTCCCTTATGAGAATAGACTAAGGGCCCTGAATTTGCACTCTCTAGAAAGGTGTAGAATTAGGGGAGATATGATTGAGGTGTATAAGTGGAAAACAGGAATTACTAAAGGGGATGTAAATAGCGTGCTAAAAAATATCTAGCTTAGACAGAACTCGCAGCAATGGTTTTAAATTTAAAAAAATGAAAATTAGTTTGGTAATAGAGTTGTGGATGAGTGGAACAAACTCCCAAGTACCTTTAAAAAAAAAACTAAGACGTTGTGTAGTTTTGAAAATAGGTTGGATAAATACATGAGTGAGTGTGAGTGGGTGTGAGTTGGACCTGACTAGCTTGTGCTTCTAGGTCGGATGCCGTGCTCCTCCCTTAAGTGAATGTAACTGACCTGACTAGGTCAAGGCATTGGCTTAAGCCGGTGGGAGAATTGGTTCTGCCTCGCATGGGCCAGTAGGCCTGTTGCAGTGTTCTTTCATTCTTATGTGTTTTAAACTGTTACAGTGGACGGGAGAATATTCTGTTTGAAATAAAAATGCGAACTAGAATACGAGATGAGATAAATTATATTGAAAGGGTTATGTCACCTTCAGTGTGCCACAAGAAGAAATTAGGAACTAGATGGATATGTTCTCAAATGATGCAAAATTACGATGCAAGATAATAAAAATTACTGTGCATCGCTACAGGACTGAGCAAGTGTAGAGAAATACCAAGTAACAGAAATATGAGAAAATTGTAACAAGCTCTACAAAAAACATAAATTGCATAAAAAAATACTGAAGGTATCAGACAAAGGGAGGGACCTCGGAGTAACCATCGATATAAGACTTTTGTTGTAAAATCACGTAAATGAAACGGAGAGAAACTTCTATGCTACACTGTCAAACCTCCAAAATGCTGTTAAATACTGTATATGGACGGGAAAATGCTGAACAAAATTAGCTACAATGCACTTTAGATCAAAAAGAATGTGCAGCAGTGGTATGATGTCTCCACTTTGAAAAAAAAATGTAAATGAGCTGTAAAAATTCCAAAAACTAGCTACGAAATGGCTCCTAGAACTAAAGGGGAAAAATATATATTTAATAAGAAGGGATGAATGTGAAGAAAAAACATGAAAACCACATTCATGATTATAAAAAAACATGAAAACCACATTCATGATTATAAAAAAACATGATAACCACATTCATGATTATAAAAGAATAATAATAAATTTGACAAGGAAGACTTCCTTACGCCATCAAGTGGTGGAAAAAGATCCTAACTAAGGAAGAAGAGCCGCCGAAATTACACAAAAAAGCTTGTCTTCATGGAGTGGTAGATCACTGTAATGACTTACAAGAGGACACACAAAGTGCTACAGCCACTAGAGCTTGCCCGTGGCGTCCTGCCTTCAGATAGGACACCACGGGATTAGTTTTGCTACTGTAGCTGCAAATAGGTAATAAAAATAGGTAGCCAAAGTGTGTATATATAGTGAGCTGCAAACACGCCGAAGGAAAGAGTATCAGAGCATGGAAAAAGTATAAAACTCAAGAGGATGATAGAGAACAGAGAAGTACAATAGCTAGAAATTACTATGCAGGAAAAAAAAGATGAGTAGACTCCATTCCAGACTGACAGTGCAGCAAAGACTAAATCAGAGCCAAAGCTACTACACAGCCATATAATAAGACAACTAAAGGAAAAAAGTAATAATGTTGGAGGAGAGAGAAGTACTCACAAAAGACGATAGTAAAATATGCAATGAATTAAGAAGATTTAAGAAAGTGTTTCCACTAAGGAAAAAGGGAGAGTTCCAGAAAGCAGGGATGAAAGGGCCTAACAACATAAATATGACAGAATTCATATATCAGAAAAAAGAAATGAAGCTACTTCAAGAATTAAACACATAAAAAACCACAGGTAGTAGGAAAGTGGTGGAAGCAGACTCCAGACATGACAAAATCCTGTCACGCAAGTTGTTCGAGAAAAAAAATGGATTAACCCATCACATTTAGCTTCAGAAAAGTTTTCGAAAGAGTTCCTCATGAAAGATTTATCTGGTATAAAAGGCAAAACATTCTTTGAAAATTTAACAAGTTTGGTGCCACAAGGACCATTTTTGCCCCCAGCCTTTTTTAAATTTATTTAAGTAACTTGCCAGAAGAAATAAAGAGCCATATGGACATGTATGTAGATGATGCGAAAAATCATATGAAAATAATAATAGAGCACAGTATTATACAATAGTACACAATACTATAAGTGGTGTACAATACAGTATAGAGGTTCAGAGTGCTGTACATTGGTACGCAGTGCTATACAATGAAGCATAGAGCTATAGAGTCGAGTAGTGCTGTAAGGATGTGTAGTGACATTCTGGCGCACGGCACTATATAAGTGAAGCGAAGTGCTATAAGTTTTACAGTGCCATAAAGTTAAACAGTGATGTGCAGTGGTGCCGTGATATACAGTGCTATACAGGAGGGTGTATAATACAGATGTCCACATCCGGTGATATACTCACCATGTTTCCACATGTGTTTCGGCCAGTTTCGTCGAAAGATTGGTTTCATTAACATTTTCTTAGCTCTTAGATCGACTGGATTAGAATTAACGTCCTCTGGGTACAAGTGATATTAACTGAGTAGAAGTGAAGTCGACTGAGTAGAAATGAGGCCTACTTAGTAGAGGTGAGTTCGACTAAGAAGTGAGGTTGAAGAGATGGCTCTGAGGTTGATAAAGACAAAAAAACTTTAGGATTCAAGGATGTCAACTGTTTTTATCATTACAATAACGGTATATAATGATGAGTTATTAGAAACATATGCAACACCTACATATATTTAATGGAAGACGCGGCTTTTTCAGTTCAATCTGGAGAAGATATAAGACAGTAGAAGATGAAATAATCAGTCTCTAAGCCTATATCATCTCTGTAATTAAATGAAAACGACACTGGATGAAGAAACGTCTTCCAATGATGAGCTTGGGGAAAGTGATCACAAATCACTTAGTTTCAATATATTATGGAATTACCCAGTAAACTGCAATCAAGTCTCTGTCCCAGACTTCTGCTTGGCTGATTTCATGGGACTGAAAAATTACCTGGGTGGGCCAAATTGGGATGATCTGACTATGGGTCAGGTAGGTGATCTTGGTTGCCAATATGACGTTTCTCAGAGCATAGTTCTAGCTGCTCAGTCAACTTTTGTTCCAAGTAAGGAAATTAGATCTAACAAAAATGATCCCAGATGGATTAACATTAGATTAAAACATCTTATTGGTCAAAAGAGAGGCATTTTTAGACGTATCAAAAGAGGGGATGGTCAGTTAAGAAATCAATATATTCAATTAAAGAGAGAAATAAAAAAAAAGGAATAAGAAAAGCAAAAAGGGATTATGAGGCTAAGGTCGCAAGGGATTCTAAGACTAACCCAAAAGGGTTCTTTCAAGTATACAAAAGTAAGATTAGACACAATATAGGTCCACTTAAGAGTAAATCAGGTCAGATCACTGACAGTGATAAGGATATGTGTGAAATTTTCAACTCTTACTTCCTCTCAGTTTTTACTCAGGAAGATACTAGCGAAATTCCAGAAATAATAAATTATGCAGAACAGGGCAGGGCGATAATAAACTATGCACGACTGCAGTAACTAGTAACATAGTCCTCAGACAAATAGAGAAATTAAAACCAAACAAATCCCCAGGCCCTGATGAATTGTTTCCAAGGGGTTTTAAAGGAATGTAAAGAGGAACTTTGCAAACCTTTGGCTAATCTTTTCAACATGTCACTACAAACTGGCGTAGTGCCTGATAAGTGGAAAATGGCAAATGTAATACCTATTTACAAGGCAGGTGACAGGTCCTTAGCTTTGAACTATAGACCAATAAGCCTTACCTCCACAGTGGGAAAATTTATGGAATCAATAATTGCCGAGGGAATTCGTAGCCATCTTGATAGGCATAAATTGATTAATGAATCTCAACATGGTTTTACAAAGGGGCATTCCTGTCTTACGAACTTGCTAACTTTTTTCGCTAAGGTGTCTGAGGAGGTAGATCATGGTAATGAATATGATATTGTGTATATGGACTTCAGTAAGGGTTTCGATAGAGTTCCACATCAGAGACTTTTGAGGAAACTTAAGGCACACGGATAGGAGGAGAAATTTTTTCCTGGGTAGAGGCATGGTTGACAAATAGGCAGCAAAGAATTTGCATAAATGGGGAGAAATCAGAATGGGGGCACGTCACAAGCGGTGTTTCACAGGGGGCAGTGTTGGGCCCCTTGTTGTTCACAATTTACATAAACGATATAGATGAGGGAATAAATAGCGACATAAGCAAATTTGCTGATGACACCAAAAGAGGCTGTCCAATTAGTGCACTCCAGGATGATTTGAATAGACTAATGCAGTGGTCGGAGAAGTGGCAGATGCAGTTTAATATAGACAAATGAAAGTTCTAAATATTGGACAGGACAATAACCATGCCACTTATAAACTGAACAGTGTAGATCTTAATACTACTGATTGCAAAAAGGATTTAGGCGTTCTGGTTAGCAGTAATCTGAAACCAAGACAACAGTGCATTAGTGTTCGCGATAAAGCTAACAGAATCCTTGGCTTCATATCAAGAAGTATAAATAATAGAAATCCTCAGGTTGTTCAACTCTATATATCCTTGGTTAGGCCTCATTTAGATTATGCTGCACAATTCTGGTCACCATATTACAGACTGGATATAAATGCACTGGAAAACGTACAGAGGAGGATGACAAAGCTGAGCCCATGTATCAGAAATCTTCCCAATGAGGATAGAATGAGGGGCCCTGAATCTGCATTCTTTAGAAAGGCGTAGAATTAGGGGGGATATGATTGAGGTGTATATGTGGAACTCAGGAATAAATAAAGGGGATGTAAATAGCGTTCTGAAAATATCCAGCCAAGACAGGACTCGAAGCAATGGTTTCAAGTTGGAAAAGTTCAGATTCAGGAAAGACATAAGAAAGCACTGGTTTGGCAATAGAGTTGTGGATGAGTGAAACAAACTCCCGAGTACCGTCATAGAAGCTAAGACCTTGCGTAGCTTTAAAAATAGGTTGGATAAATACATGAGTGGGTGTCCTACCTTTGGACGAAGACCTACTTCGACCAGTGGATGTTACCACTATGACCCCGCCTCCTCCTGCTTCGCCTCACCTGACTACAGTATATAAGCCCTGACTGATGTATTGACATCAGATGCAGGAATCTGCTGTGTGTTAAGTATTCATTGGGGTCAACTTGACCCCAGTGCATTTACAGAGGCATTAGCAAGGTAAAGCTACTTGTGCTATTATACATCCAGGTTGTGTATTACAATAAGCTAGTGACTTGGTGCTGATAATCTGGTAGAAAGATGCTCCAAAAACAAGTTAAAATGTCTAGATAAGGAGACTAACTACAGTGGGTCAGACAAACTTAACTATACTGAAAATAAATGGAACATAAGAGGATCACACGAGCTTAGCTCAAGTTCGATAATCATAAAATGGATACTATACCAATGAAAGAGTATACAATACGGGCAGTGGCAAGTTACTATTGAGAAGGCTGGTGAGAAGGGTGCCAGGGTAGAGCACAAAAGAAATGGTAATAATGTCATAATATAGACACAAACACAGTAACCTGCCAGAAGTGTGAGAGGACATTGTGGGAAAGGGTAGGAATCAGGTGGAGTGAATTATATTTTATATGAGGTTTTAGTCCCGTGTGTTGGAAGCTCGTTCCTTCGTCCGCTAATACCGAAATAAACTCTCGCTATTTTTTCAACAAATGTGGTAACGCAAGGTGGCATTTATTCTTAGGTATTATGGGAAAAAAATATTAGTTTTGCTAAAAACTTAAGTTAGTACAATATCAATTATCTGCGTCATTTCCTGATCAAATTGTGGAGATATTTATTGCCTCCCCCTCCCTGTAGAGAGACCGTAAACAAATCCAGAGGTGAGCTATCAGAAGAGCACACGGAGACCCCTGAAAAACCACCATTCCTAGCCTGAGTGGAAAGGGATGAACGCTGGGGACTACAATGAGACAGACGAGAAGCAAATTCTACAGATAAAATAATTATCTTGCGATTTAAATTCATCACACCCAGCAATACGATAAACTGTGTATTTCCGCCAAACGTTCATTGGTTCCAGTTTCAAAGCTATTGTTTTTTTTTTTAAATTATTATCCGATTATTATGACTTGCAGGGTTCATACAGTGCCTAGGGTGATCAGTTGATGCAAGAGAGGGGGGAAGTAGCTTCACTTCCTTGGATCAAGTCCCTTCACCAGCATCAAGAATGACATCCTTCAATTTTCAACACAGGAAAATGAAATCCTTCAATTTATGGCACAGGAGAATGAAATCCATCCATGTTTAACACAGGAGAATGAAATCCATCCATTTTTATTACAGGAGAATGAAATCTTCTATTTTTAACACAGGAGAATGAAATCCTTCCATTTTTATTACAGGAGAATGAAATCCTTCCATTTTTAACAAAGGAGAATGAAATCCTTCCATTTTTAACACGGGAGAATGAAATCCTTCCATTATTACAAGAGAATGAAATCCTTCCACTTTTAACACAGGAGAATGAAATCCTTTAATTTTAACAAGGAAGAATGAAATCCTTCAATTTTCAATATGAGAGAATGCCATCCTTCAATTTAGTTTAAACTGAGAGCAGGGATTCACATATTAACACACACAGCTACATACAGTGGAAACTCGGTATTCGAACGTACTGGACCTCGAACAAACCGGAATTGAAACAATTTTGTTCAGAAAAAAATTGACCCAGTCTTTGAACGTTTTTCTGGAGTCCGAACATGCCGGCTTGTTTACAACTCAGTTGGCGTCAAAAGCCCTGTTTCAAAAGTACTTTGAAGTGACCTCTGACACTGACCTAATTCTCAAAGACTTTTGGAAGAGTCAGTTCAACATCCTCCAGAGTGAGAGTCTGATAATTAATTAAAGCCTTGGGAGATTTTTCCCAAAGGACAATTAATTCTGCTTGGAGGAAATTGTGGCCTAACTCTGAGGCAAGCAAAGACTGTGTGGCAGAGCCAGTGGTTTATGAAATCATCTCCCTAGGTGGGTACATGGGGTTAGAGGTGAACTAGGAAGATGTGGAGGAGTTGATAAATGTCCACAGCAGAAAATTCAAAACAGAAGAACTCCAAGATCGTCTCGAGGAGCAGGAAGAGGAACTGATAGAGGAATTCTTTTCAACGAATGAGGAGGAGGAAGTTGGCAGAGCCAAAATTTCCACTGATGAACCTGAAGAGTTGTTTTTCATTAGTCAAAAAAGCGAAGCATAATGAAAAAAAATGGCACCCTGACATTGTTCTGGTGAGCTACACTGATTTCTTTGGTGATAATGGTTGAACACTTTAGGAAGACTTTGACGGGTTGGTAAACGCAAACCACATTTGACAGATTCCTTTTAAAACAAACAAAACAAAAAAAAAGAATGCATCTGCCAGTTCTGAGTCTCCAGAATCTTTCAGTATTAATGCAAAGTGACAGAAACGAAACCACATCACTTCAGAGGGAAAGCTACGGGATGTTTTTATGGAAGGTGACTCTCCCCTCCCCCCTTCACACAGTAGCCGCCTTCCTCTGTAACTTCCACTTGTGCCAGTCAACTCAACTCAATAAAGGTAAAGTTCTAGTTTCTCTCTTCATTTATTTTTTAACAGGCATTAATTATATTAATTATATGTGTTTTTATAA